ACTTCTAGAGAACGCGTCGAAAGCTAGAGACATGAGGCTATATTTACAACAAGGACCTCCTGACACATGGAAAGGTACGTATAACGGTGGTCTTATACGCAGGACTCCATAAGTGTTTGTTTGTGTATACGTAGATCGTCTTTGTTGTTATCTAATTGAAGCCCACCCGATGATCTTTGCACAGGTCCTGGTAGACGACACTGGGTGACCTGGACATCGGGCTGTGGAGCAAAAGGCTCCTCTGGCGCGTGCCGACTTTTGTCCAAGCTCTGCATTGAAGGGTACTACAAATGAAATCATCTTCCACAGAATGTCCAAGGTACAACATAGGACTATTTTTTTCAAGACTTGGATATAATGGAGTGTTTTTATTCTTGAGTAGACTTCATAACTCAGGGAGGAGCACAGGCTCTGAGCAGGTATATACATGTGATATTCTAATTTCCAGGGCACCCAGCATGATTTCAGGATGTCGAAGTGCAACTTTACAACGAATTTCTTGGTGCATGTTTGACAAATGAGAGAATTGATCCGGTTTTTAATTGACACACATGTAACCACCTTATATGTACTGCATGTGAAGTGCATATATGGCCACACGCTTTCAAGGTTAGTATACCTATCATAGTAGTTGAGATGGTGAGAGTAGGTAGATGTCTGTCTCTCTAGCTGACCTCAGGATGCTGTTTCCATCATCACACATCGCCTCAAGTTTGTCCGGGAGAGGCCTCGTGGGCTGTGCCAGCTCAGGCGCCAATGACACGGCTCGCAGTTTCTCATCACACCCTCTGGACGGGCGGCGACAGACTGACCGCAGAAACCACACTCTTGTGGGAAGTGCGTCTACTCTCCTCTCTCTCTTCCTTGTCCTCACTTCCCTCCTTTCCTCCTTTCCTCTCTGGCTGTCTTATGTAGTGCACATCTGCACTTATTGGTCCCAACTTGGGAGGAAGTATTCTTCAACATTAGCTTATGAACAGGGGATGTAAACAAGCAGTGCTTATCAAACACGTTCAAGTTCTATCTGATTCTAAATATTGTCTGTCGAAAGTTTCCGCGCCTTGCCCAGTGCTGTGCTAGTGTACTCTCCCGCCATCGCACACACACACACACAGCAAAGACGCACAAGCCTCTACATGTTGGACAGTCGCCACTCTACGTACAATCTCGTTCAGTTCAACGAGATCCCCACTGATAAGGAGGGTGGACCGACACTCGCTCAACCCCGTACCTCACATAACGCTAACCGAGTCTGCAGAACCCGTTTGACGACATGTTCCCTCCCCTCCCGAGGCGGCTCCGAGGCTCTCTCGAGAGAAAGACTGAGGACTATCCAGAGCCAATCTAGAGCCACCAGTACAAGCCATTTCCCTCCAGCTCTTCTCCTCTTTACTTTTTTCATTCGTGTTTGTGTGTATGTTGCTTTGTTTTGTTTTGTTTGTGTGTTTGTGTCAGAAATTTTAGTCTCCTGTCGTTCCGGGAAGAAGCGGAAGAGGAAGAGGAGGAGGCACCAATCCAGCAAGGTAAGTAGTACCCACACCATTTGCAAACCAACGTCTGTCATCTCTGTCAGAGTAAGAGCTGAAGATTCGCAGCAGTCACGATGTGCTCAAAGAGGACGCAAAACTGAGCTCTTCAGCCAGCTGTCGACCCAGCTGTCTCATCGCTAGGGTGAGCCATTGCAAGATGATGTATGATGATGTAATATGTGATGTAACATTATGCAGGGATGGGAGTAAAGAGGAAGGGATTGTGAGTTGAGTGTTTGCACTTCTACTGTGGACACCCGCTAATTTTTGTGTCTGTGTGTGTGTGTGTGTGTGAGTGTAGGGAAGAGGAGGAGGAGGGAGGGGAGGGAGGGGAAGGGGAAGAGGCTGACAAGGAGTGGGAGGAGTCACGAGGGCGAGGGAGAAGAGACTGGAGCTCATGGAGGAGCTCTGGAAGACGAAGACACTCGCAAAGAGGAAAGACGTTAGTTTTTTTATCTGGCACAAGAGAACTATATAACAGAACAGAAGGAAATCTAGTCAATGAAAGTGCTAGAATAGAGTGCAGTACAGGTGTCTGTCTGGAGATGTAGAGGTACATGAGAGCATATGTGTGTGGGCCTGTGTGCGTGGTGTCTGTAGACAGCGTCTCATACCTGCTACAGTTATCATTCCCCGGCCTCATCCCACCGGTCTCTCATGACTGCAACGTTATTCATTCACTTCACCTCATTCCGTAACTTCAGCCTTGTGCACGCTGCACCTGCTCTCACTCTCTTTCTCCTCTCTCCCCTCTCTCCCCTCTCATTATTATACTTCCAGGGAACAACTACAGAAGGAATCCGAAGCTCTGAAAACGAACTTCGCCAGAACGCAAAGAGAAAGAGACTCGAACAGAAAGTGAAACTTGAGCAAGAGGAAGACAAGTGGAAAGGTATGCAACACACACTCCTGGTGTAGTCTTTGTAATGGTATTCATAACCTTTGCTTGGTAGAATATGTCTAAGGGTCTATTGTGTGGGTCATACATTTGCATTTGTGCGTAGGTGTGGATATAATCGTAGCTGCCATCTAATTTTCGCCGGTCGATTCTACAACCCAACGTTATGCGGTGGATAGTGTATACTCTGTAGCGTACGATGTGTAGGTGGAAAAAGGGGTGGATATGTTAGTAAGGGCACTTGTAACCACGGTGCTATACTTGGCCGAGTGAATGCCAATTCTGTGCATCGTTGCAGTGTCATTAACCCGAGGCCATTACCTACCATACAGTGTTGGTGAATTTATGCTACCTAGTTGAAGGTCAAATGTGGCAACGTAGAGCAGCAACTGTAATATGCGTGTGCAGTAAGCTTGAATAGCGTCTCAGCGTTTTTTCTATGTATACAGAACATATATACACCACGAGAGTGGTGTGTGTGTGTGTGGTGTAATTGATTGCTGATGTGTTGCATTGTCATTGGTGCAGCTCTAAGGTATTATAGTCAGCGTTCCAACAATTCGTGCCCACATCTCCCGCTACACACACACACCTCAAATCGCTCCTCATGATGCTACATGTGTTGTCAGGATCCCGGCTCCAGTGAGGGAACTGAGACAAGAAGCATATCGGAGAGAAACGTGTCTTGTGAGAAGGAGATAACAGACAGCAACAGGTATTAATGTATTAGTACAGGAATCTGCGATGAAATCCTGGGTGTTCAACTCGTCGATAATCTAAGTTTACACTCATGTGTAAAACAGCAGAAACTGACGTGTCAGATCTGCTTGCTGCTTCGCGCAGTTTCTGTAGAGCTACTAGAGTTCTCTCTGTACCTCTCTCTCTCTCTCTCTCTCTCTCCTCTCCTGACAGACGATGGAGCTACTTGAAGGTTTCAAGATGAAGCTGTTCACTTATGCCACGAACCCTTTCCAGCGAGGGAGTGAGGAGAGCGAGGGAGATGAGGAGGACAGGGAGGAGGGAGGGAGGAGCAGGGAAAGAGAAGGCAAAGAAGAGGGAGTACATTGCCTGTAGGATTAAAGGATCCCTGAATGTCCTGTCAGTCTTGACACAAAAGAAAACCAATTCCTTTCCTCGTGCTGATGGCCCACCAACCCGCGTATTGGGGGTATTTTGGGCTTAAATTTTAGTAGGACGCAATATTTTTTGTTTGGGGCTTGGGGTGGGGGCAAACAGAACGCAGGCTCACAACTCACTGTCATAAGTCTGTAACATGTTTGTACAGCATCACTGAGGAGACACGCGGACAGCAGCAGTTGGTGTAGAATCAAGCACCAGTCTGCACTCGGTAATACATGTTGTCATAATTGCCCAACACGGTTTCCGTCATGAGCGTCTGCCGTCCTGCGCATTTTCGATTAGCAAGTTTCAAACGTGAGTTAGTTTCACAGACTAGGGACGAGTTTAGCCCTATTCCAAGGCGATTAGCAACAGCAGACTCAGGAGAATTCTGGGGGGCCACTCCCCAACCTGTTACCCTCTCTCGTTACAAACGTGGTTTTGGTTTTAAGTTTCCCTTTTCTTTAGTATTGTGGTACAGTGGGAATGGTACAACTCTTAATATAGGACACCTCCCTCTTTTTTTTAATTGTGGTAATTTACAAGTGTATAGATTCTAGTCCAGCATGTCCTCTAATTACAGAGATGTAACAAGTCACAATGGGATGTATAATTATATGTACATTTGCATCTGTATATATAATGTGTCCCTTTCACCAATTACTATGTAAATGCACTTTACTAGTGGCCATTTAACACTCTGAACAGAGCTACCATTTTTGGGGATAACATTTCGTGAGCGTAGTTAATGACCCACCCAAGAAGTTTTTTTCGCGAATGTTGTGGGCATTTAAAGTGTATATACTACCGATACACGAATAGTTTTACTCCTCGAACATCTCCCGGCTATATTGGTAACCATCGCTATGGGATACCTTAATTAACACCAGTATGTTTTCAAGCCACCCAACTGTGTAAATAGCGCATTTGGTGGCCATTTAAACACTCTGGGATGCCAGAAAATGGCCTTGATGTAAAGTCGAGAGTAGTAATATAGACTATGAGTGTTTGCAGAGATCTCTATGAAGAATGTCACTGGACTTCATTCCACCGTGTTTACTGGAGAGTGGGTCGTAGTGTGGGAGGCAGTTTATGAACATTCCGAATTGTGTCGACAAGTCACACGCTTTCCCCAAATTATCATCTCTGGAGATTGGAATAATGATCAGCGACCCTTTATTTTCGCAAAACATGTCATCCGACATGCACTGTCCAATTACCGAACTCTTTAGTGGTCGGGGTCGTGTTTCACATGCTGTCATATTGACACATTTGTGGTTTGAAGAGGCTACAACGAGGGTAGTTGATAACACGAGTGGAGGAATTTGTTAGTCCACCAGATCACTACGTCGAGAATTGCGCACTCATTTGTACCTTACGACCTCATTTTCCCCCTGACGCCCAGCTGGCGACTGGTGATATGAGTGAGAATGTCCTCGTGGTACGGTTGAAACGTGCAGCCGTCGGATGAAGCAGCTACATGAACTCGATAGGGTAACTCTTAACCTCATTTCCCCTCCTTATTTCTGAGTAACTGAACTTCGCCTCACCGAGGAAACTATCTGAATGACAATACTCTGCATTTTCTTACTCCGAGAACAGTTCTTGCAATGCACCTCTTAAAGCCCTGAATAAGGACACCTCCTGAAAAATGGGCACCGTTAATTCTGTCCATAGTGCTGATTAGAGGGGTTCCACCTTAATTAGACCTAGAAGAGACATGTTTTAGAAAGGACTAGTCAAGTTTTTACATCTGTGTAAAGACACTGCACGTCCTTGACGGTGTGAGCTGATGATAAAGAGACTTCACCGTCACACACGTGATCGCCAGCTCAATAGACTGTGTAATTGTGTGATGTTTGGTTCTGGGATGCCAGTGGCATACGGCAAACTCAATGATCCGTGACTTTATGCAACTTAATAGCCGAAACAGTTGCAGACACTAGTACTGTCATCATGTCTCCTCACCTGTTTCCTAACAAGCTACTCTGTTAATGTATGTTGGAAGGGTGGCAGCCGACCTTTGAATTGGCTTCAACTGACTTGAAACTTGTCCAGGTGCATAGAACACCACACAGGCACACTGGCTCCCATCCATTCTCTGCTGTCAGGTTTATGCAATGTTTCATACCTCTCTTGGTTCTTTGGAGGGAGTTTCGAAAATTGCAGAATACAGTGCTTCTGAACTTGTTTGGAAAGGTGAAGAAGTTACACACAACCTTTTCCTCCATTGAACATCCTTCTCCCATCTCGCTCTCCCCGGAGGAAATGTTGTGTGGTGGTTATCACCATCCTCAGCAAGTTTCCCACAACGCTGAAGCTATATACACAGGCTCTCCAGCCAAATATCTCCCTCAGATCCCTGAAAACTGGTTGTTGGTTATCCAGTGACTGGTTGATGACGTGTGGGTTCAGTGAGAACATACAGCAGTGATCTGCTGTGACCAAATTTTTGCCTTCCTCAATATATCTGGTTTACTCCGTTTGAAAGACGATACCTCCGAGAGCAGATATGTCAGTCTGTTTGTCTGGTTGTGTGTGACTGGTGGTACCCACAGCCCGGCCAGATGTGCCGGGATGACTGTGGTTTTGTCGCTGTACTGCACATGTATGTTTCCAGGGCCACCTGCCTTGGCTAGCTACCTGAACCAAGACAATGCTTGCTCGAGTTGTAGACTCAAAGAGCGCTATACTAGCTGTGTCATCACTAAGAGATAATGCTTATGTAATACCTATGTTTCGTAATGTGTTACATCTATCTGTAACTGTGTTAGATACTGATCGAGTGTCTAAAATGCACCGAGGTCACTTCAAAGCAGTTTATCCATCAATGCCATTCACGAATGCTCTGAAAATGTTTTGACTTGGGGTGTGTTGGAATAGCCAATGGCATGTGGTTCATGGCCTCCCCTGCCAACCAATCCCTCGTCTCACCATCAACTCTGTTTTATCACTGAGATGGGGTGCGTGGGCCGTGGATATAGAACGCAATGTTGATTGAGTGGGCTATTGCTTTTAGTCAGCTTTTTACCCACATAATGTGTGTAACTGCTGCATCTACTGGGAAACCTCTGATGGCATTGAAAGTGTTTGTTGTTTAAAAGGAGTTCTTTTTCCAGAGGCATTAGTCTGGGGCAGAACCACGTGTACCTTTGTAGAGAGGTTCTTTATTCTGAGGTCATTAGTCTGGGGCAGAACCACGTGTACCTTTGTAGAGAGGTTCTTTATTCTGAGGTTTCATTGTGTTGCCTTGTACTTGGTTGTTATGGCTATATATGGTTTGCTCTTACTTTCAAGGAGTAGCGTCTCCATTTGTTTTTAAACCGATGTTGGTTACAAGTTCTTTTACTGGCTGGCAGTAGTTTGTTCCTGCCAAACCTATTCACTTTCAAAGAAGTTGTTTTTGGCATTGCTCACACCGTTCTCAAAACCTTTAATAACAAGATTGTCTCCTCCCACTGTCTCCTCCCACACACACACACACACACACTCACACTCTTTCTCTCTCCAAGGTTGAAACACAGGCTGGAATTTGCTGACGAGAAGACAGTGATGGTTGCCAAGGACGCCAACATTCAGAACGAGGATACGTTTGACATCTACGACCCTCGCACCCATAAACAAGAGGCGGAGGGACGAGGGTGTGGCTGAGGCCAAACGCATCCGAGAAAACAGTCTGAAAGAGAGAGCTAAAAGATAGTGATTGTCATTTCTCAATTATGTTGTCTTTTTGTTAAGCAGCCCCGCCTCTTTGCTGCGCATGCACACTTGATCTTCGCGTATGCTGTCAATCTTACGTACGTGTACACAATAAAACGATCCCTTTATTCACGCTGTTCAGTTCTCGTCGTCCATGATTGACTTCTTTGCTAGCTGACGCCACCACAGGAGCAGACAATTCTCGGACGACGTATAGCTTTATACCAAGTTTGGAAATATTTACTCCAAGACCTGCGAGTGGACGAACAATGGGAATGGCTTGGGGCTGCAAGTTTCGCCGATCAGCTGCTCTGCACGCCTTGTTGGTTCTTCTCTACGCATCGCTGCAGCCGGAGCCGGTCGATGGTATGTACGTGTGAGCGGCTGGTGGGCGGTCAACCATGGAGGGCGGTTTTGCAGTGTCTACCGAGCGTGACGGAGGGAAATCGTTTACCTATAGTACTGCACAGGCGTGAAAATGTGTTGCGCAGAGAGGCGTAGGTAGGAACGCAGCTACATTATAGTGGCGCAGTACAGCCGCCGGCATGCAGCAATGCAGCGCAGTGTGTGGCAGCTGAAAAAAGGGCGGTTGAGTTGTAAAAGCTGCTGGTCAGCTGCAGAAGCCATGTCGCTGCAGTAAGGGTGCGTGGGCAGTCAGCGTACGTGACCAGCTCGGTCCAGCAAACGTAGCGTAGCTTGCGGGCAGGAGATGTCCCAGCCTCTAGAACCACTTGGGAAATAGGGAGCCCGCCCGTCTGGTTAGTCGCCAACACGTGTTTAATGAATTAGGGCGGTCTCCTCCCCTACGAAATTAATCATACCTACTATATACCAACCTGCTGTGCTTGAGAAATGTGTCAATTTGCTTGAATTTGGAGTAGTTTTGCTTGAAAATGCTGCATGTCCATTCAAAAAATGTATGGCATAATGCCATCCACAGGTTAGCACAAAAAAAGAGGGATTTGGTGATTTCAGCAAAAAGCTGGATGGTTGGTAGGTATGTGTTTGAAGAATGGAAAGTTTTTGGAACAGCAGACCAGGGCTAGGGTGTGTGGTTTAGATAGGTGTAGGAAACACGCACAAGAAGTGGTAAATTAGCAAAACAACAATGATATCAGGGCTATAATGTCATGCATGATGTAATGCTAATTGGAACTTCTATAGTAGGGCATCAATGCCTGAATGAGCTAATTTCGCAGCATGTTCATTATCCTACAATGTTTAGCTTGTAGACCCTACATAAAGTACAACTCTTCACCAGAACATGTAAACCCCACCCAGGTATCCATGGTGAACCCAAGCCAACTCTTTCTTGCCAGCTGCAATGTCTATCTTCAGCTTTCAGGGTTGGCAGTCGATATACATGTACTCCAATACATAACCAACCAAGGCATTACTACCCCTAATTACACTGTGTCTAAAATCATTGGAATGTCATGATGACAGACAACTACGTATATAACTGGGTGCCTTTTTCGTACTAAACTTCACGTTTTGCCCAATTTCATTGTGAAATGCGTCCACATATTGCGTACTCTGAACCCTACCACACCCCTCTATGACATCATACCTATAAAGCCAGTAGTAGCTAGCCTCCTCCCACCCAATGTATACATATTTGCTCCCTCCTCCCCCTGACTCATAAGTAAAACAGTGCCACTCCCCCAAATCTCTAAGCTCATTATCCCCATCTGCGCTATTCGGAACATTCTGAGAATTTGCACATGAATAACGACCTCGTCCTATGAATATCGTTGGAGCGTCAGCATTCACTGTTGACCCATGGACCGTGTCCGAGGGAGTGCTGCCAAATATAGCCATCACAACTCTCATTTGTTTGTGTAAACACATATGAAGAAACTCGTCTCTGTGAACACCTAAACCCCTCCCCTCTTGTATTGAGGACACCTCTCTACATTATATTTCCCCAACAACAGTCGCTACACATACACATATATAAGAGAATATGGACACTTTCTTCTGTCCCACGGGTGTCCCCATAGAGGAGATCCACTGCAATCCTGTTCTTCGTTGCTTCACGCGTGAACTCCATCTTTCTCTCTCACACACAGCTGCATGTGCCTCCTATGCCCCTCTGAACTACACGGGGAACAGTTTCGCCATCAGACAGACAAGAACTCGACTGATTGATAATTCAGACATTGAGGAATGCTCCTTCCAGTCTGGGGCGTGGCCACGGTCCTAGTGGGCGGGGCCCAACTCGGCACCAGGTTTACTGGTTCGACTGCTTCCACAGTAGCCTCGGGACTACGTGGGTACGCGTGGATCCTGGAGGGTCTGTAGACAATACGGACTGTGCCTGGAGGAACCAGGATCAGCTTTACCGCAACGAGCAGTAACCATCTGGGTCTGTATGCCTGCATGGCTTCTGGCGGAGCAATGGAGTATCTCAATATTACTGATGGTTAGTTATCTGCATTATGGTAGGCTGGATGTCAAAATTGTGAGTTATCTCAGAGGCTTGAAGTATGATATGCACTTTGATATTCAGTAATGCAGTGTTCATTTCTTTGTCTCCCTCTCTCCTCCCTCTCTCCTCCCTCTCTCCTCCCTCTCTCCTCCCTCTCTCCTCCCTCTCTCTTCCCATATCCAGAGGTGCCAGGGTTAATACCAGTAGAAAGTAGCGTTGAGGCATTCTCTGGGGACACTGTAACCCTCTCCACATTCATCTCCACTACCAACGGTCTACTGACTTATGTCCACTGGAAAGACCCAAGTGGAGACACAGTGTTAGAATACCCTGCACCGGGGGAGGAGGTGAATGCGCTACCGAGCAATCTGGTTATCAGTGACGCATCTCTGGAGGAATCCGGGACTTATAACGTGACAGTCCAGTCACGGGAGGGACTCATTTCAGAGGACACACCCTCATCTTTCTCAGTGTCCTTGGTGAGCATCTGATGTGTATATACTCTTGTAGTTTGATGGATCCAATGTTTTGCTACAAAACAACTCAAGGGACCCTTGAATAAAGGACACCTCTCTAGAAAGGACAATTGTTTCTGCCAGCCTAATACTGGTGTATCACATTACCTCTGATTAAGGATGCCTCTGAACAATGGATATTGATTTTCACACGATGCTGATTTGATACAAAAACGCAAATTGTCTGACTCCCTCCCCCCTCCTCAGTTCCATCCAACATCACCGGTCCACCTCCATCTGAACTGACAGTAGACGAATGGGAGGAGACACAACTGGTCTGTGAGGCACGTGGCTCTCCTCCACTCACCATAACCTGGTCCAAGAGGCAGCATGCTGCCTATCAACTCTGACTTCAGACCAGCAGCCCATACACTAATGAGGTAAGTTTACAACTATATAAGATGAACTAAACAATAGGACCCAATGCAAGAATATGTTACTATTCTTGGTAACATCTTCTAAATTTAGCCCTTGTATACTGCCACACCCCCTACAACATTCCCAATTCCAAAGGAGCCCGCCCTCTAGTGGTGTATTGCTCCATCACACACAGGATGGCACGGTGACAGTGACGAGCACACTGACCATCACTGAATCTCGGTACGACGACAGAGGGAGGTACAGCTGTTCGGCATACAACACCCTGACAACCATCAGTCACACTGACACCACTGAATCCACTCTCAACATTAACCGTAAGTCAATACTTACATACGTAATGAACACTTAACTCGGGACACCTACATATATAAATGGAAGCTCACGAGAGAAAAAACTTCACTGATTTTGAAAAGAGATTTGCCAACATTATCTTATTCTGCGAAATGTTCGATATGTGGTAGTACAATAGCAAAATTTGGGTGAGATAGGGATAGGTGCAGCGAGACAAGATGTTACCATTCCATACTCCAACTTTAGTCAAAGCATTAGGGATAGTTGGGTCATCTCTTTTTCCGCTCATGTGCCTACAAAAAAAGCGAAATAGTTGACATACCCTTATTTAGGGGGCACAGCAAAATTTGGGTGAGATAGGGATAGGTGCAGCGAGACAAGATGTTACCATTCCATACTCCAACTTTAGTCAAAGCATTAGGGATAGTTGGGTCATCTCTTTTTCCGCTCATGTGCCTACAAAAAAATGCGAAATCGTTGACACCCTTATTAGGGGGACAGCAAATTTGGGTGAGATAGGATAGGTGCAGCGAGACAAGATGTTACCATTCCATACTCCAACTTTAGTCAAAGCATTAGGGATAGTTGGGTCATCTCTTTTTCCGCTCATGTGCTACAAAAAAATGCGAAATAGTTGACACCCTTATTTAGGAGGACAGCAAATTTGGGTGAGATAGGATAGGTGCAGCGAGACAAGATGTTACCATTCCATACTCCAACTTTAGTCAAAGCATTAGGGATAGTTGGTCATCTCTTTTTCCGCTCATGTGCCTACAAAAAATGCGAAATAGTTGACACCCTTATATAGGGGGCACAGCAAAATTTGGGTGAGATAGGGATAGGTGCAGCGAGACAAGATGTTACCATTCCATACTCCAACTTTAGTCAAAGCATTAGGGATAGTTGGGTCATCTCTTTTTCCGCTCATGTGCCTACAAAAAAATGCGAAATCGTTGACACCCTTATTTAGGGGGCACAGCAAAATTTGGGTGAGATAGGGATAGGTGCAGCGAGACAAGATGTTACCATTCCATACTCCAACTTTAGTCAAGCATTAGGGATAGTTGGGTCATCTCTTTTTCCGCTCATGTGCCTACAAAAAAAATGCGAAATCGTTGACACCCCTTATTTAGGGGGGACAGCAAAATTTGGGTGAGATAGGGATAGGTGCAGCGGACAAGATGTTACCATTCCATACTCCAACTGTATAGGACCAGTTTCAGCGGGACAAACAAAGTCCTATGTACACACTAGTTGATGTTATTATTATTTACCACTCTCTCTCTACTGCCCCTCTCTCTCATCACCAGCCATGATCCGGATAGAAAGTGAAGACCTCACCAGCAACGTGGTGTTGGCATCGTTTGGAACTTCGCTAACAATCCAGTGTTTCGGCTCCGGGAATCTTGTCTGGACCACGCCCCCTAATCAGACCGTCTTCACCTCGTACGACCCATCCCGGAACGTTTTAACCCTTTCCATCCCGAATTTCGTCACTCCCGCCCGATACACATGTTCGTCTGATCTTGTCGCGGGTCTGGAGAAGACCATTCTCATAACTACCGATGGTATGGTGCTGGCGAATGTGGCTTTGTACGATGTCTCTGTAGCTAGTTGGAAAATTCATTGGGACAATATTGTTTTTTCTATGTGGTGTGTGCTCTATGGGTGCGTGTACAGTCATACATAAGTACATGAAATGTTAAAATTAGGAGAAATAAAATTCAACCCACTGGCTGTGTGCATACAAACCAGATAACTATAGATTGACTATTAATTGCGTGGGTCACTATAACGCTGCATGTTTTTGTCTCGTTTCCAGCTGTTTGTCGGTCTTTATCTCAGATGAATAATATTCGCTCTCAAAGGATCCATGTAACCATCGCCCACATTCACTCTGTGAATGATGTCACCTCCTTAATCTGTACCGGAATGGGACACAGCTGATCGGAGTCGGACAGTCGATAACACGGCCACTGTCTCTGATAATGCACTGGCAACACTGGAGATTGACGTTGCGAGACGAGTGATATTGGTATTTACGTTGCCATGGTACCAACAGTGACGACAGCGTCGCCAATGCCTCAGTTGAACTGAAGTATCCAGTGAGCTAATGAGAGGAGTTTCCTCCCTTAAGTCAATTGAAAGTGAAATGTTCTCCAATTAGTGCTCCCCTCGGCGAGGGTGTCTCCGTCACGACGGACTGTGGAAGTAGGGGACTCTGTGGATGTGGTGTGTGCTACTGATGGAACTGGACCTCTGGACACCCGTCAGTTACACAAATAGACACTTTATCATTGACTGGCAAATTGCCAGGCAAATAATTTCTACCGATTTCTAAGTTCTCTCACAAGTTTCACTATCATTGTACAATAGAAATCAGGACAACTAACTGTATGTAGTCAGGACACATTCTGCTCAAATCATGTGTTCTGAGAGTAGAGTCCATCACATGATGTAATGTATGACCTCACAGAGTGGATTGCTGAGAATGGTGATGTTGTTGCCGATGGAAGCCAGCTCACCATAGCAACAGCGACTCTAGTCCATTCCGGTGTGTATACCTGCGCTGTCTCCAGTCCATTCTCGGCAGCACAGGCAACCTTTGACCTCACAGTCCTCGGTGAGTGATTATGGCACCCTCTCAGTTTCTGGGGAACCAATTTTATATTCTCCGACCCCCTCAGAGCGACTTGTGGCACTGATCGATATGATGATGTCATCAGCCCCACCCACAAGGTGTCGTTTTACCATGGCGACGGGGATCCCCTTTCCTTCAGATGTCTGGTCAATGGTTCAGTCGGTGACACCAGCTTTACTTGGCAGGTAATATATATATATATATATATATATATATAGGGAGGGAGAGATGACAAATGGGGGGAGGGGCACTTATTCCCAATGCTGTCTACAACATAAAACAAAAACAGCAATACAGCCGCTTGGCTTTGTGCACGCATGCACCTTGAAACACTGCAGTAAAATATAAATTTGGCCCTGAGAAAGTATGTTCAGCCTAACCCAACTTCAATTTACGTCTCTGAGTTAGCAGTGGCCCTGAGGTACATATTCTCTCTCGTCCAGCTGTCAGGAGGAGGTTCAGTTCCCAGTGTGACGATGGTGGACTCCACTGGTAGTGGTAGTGTGCTGACCTGGACCCACAGGCTAGAGTACACAGACACCGGGACCTACGTCTGTCTGGTGAGAGAGCCAGCCACGGGGAGACTCGCTCTGCTACTGTCACCTCAACAGTCCTTCGTGAGTAGCTATACTGACATGTATTACTGTTCACGACAATACACCATCCATTTGCTCATTCACATGAAACTGGGTCCACTTATAGGATCGCTTCCGCTGAATGAATATGTCGTTTTGGCAAAGAGAAAGTAACTGCCTCTTGAAATGCAAGTATGGCTACATGATATTATTGGGATATGGTATTGAAATATCCATGTGCTCAGTAGGTGATTTCTTCCCCCCTTTTGCCTCTCTCTCCTCAGACGATCCAGTTCTGGACACCATATTCCCAGCCCCCAGGCATCACAACGGGATCGTCCTCCATCACCTACGACGTTCCCCTCGGTTTCACAGGGCCCCGCCCTCACCTGTACCGCCTTTGCCTCCCCGTCTCCGCCCGACGTGAAATGGAGCAAAAACTCTGGAAGTCTTCCTCGCGGAATCGACACCAACACGACGGTCGTCGGAGGAATAGCCATTTCGCAACTGGTATTCTCCTCGCAGTTCAGCGTAGCCAACGTCGGTACATACAAATGTGAGGTGAGGAGAACCGGGGAAGAAGGGCTGGTTGATTCCCAGTTGGTGGAGCTGTCACAAGGTGACCCCGCTACTACGGCACCAGTGGGAGACTGCGAGAGTGTGTCAGAGGACATGGTCCTGTTCCAGCTCCGCGTGGCGACGTCCGGCTGCATGACGTGGAATCAGGACAGGAAATCGGCCATCACCGAAGAATTTCAAAACTTTCTCTTCCGCCTCATGTCAACGCAGTGCCACCAGGAAGACTGCGTCACCAAGGAAACGCTCACTGTTGTTAGTCTTGAATGCAGCGATGTCAAAGAAGGCGGGGCAGTCTTCAGGGGAACAATAGAAACAGGCTCCGCCTCCAAGACGGAAATGGTGACGTGTGCTCTGTCTCGCTGGCAGAGGTCGCGACCTCTAGTGACGGTGGAAGACAAACAGATTCTATGTAGACTCTCAGTGTGGGCTTCAAATAGAGTCGTACGCGGAGGAAGAGTGTTTGGAGCCAGAGAGCGAGGGACAAAAGGACATGAGGATGATACTGATGATAGCCGTGTCAGTGGGTGTAGTGCTGTTGGTGATAGCAGTTATTGTTTTCATCCTCATCTGCATTTTCCGATGCTGCAAAGGAGGGAATCTTAAAATATCGTGAGTTCAGCCGTAAAGGACTCGTCATTGTCACTGGAATCTTTTGAGGAAAATATTATCAAGGCACATCGTAATTTCTTTTCCTTCCCTAAAAAAATAATAGCCTCTATATCCACAAAACTGGCTTACCAACCATGGGTTAATTCTTGCTACTGTGTGCACTAAGTACGCTATGTAGATACCTACATGTGGAGAAAGGGGAGCCTGTCGTATTAACCTGCTTTTCTGTTTTCTCTTCGCAGGGATGGCACTAATCCATATGAAGTAAACACTATGATGAGTTACAGTCAGACCAGAGATCCAACCTGTCTTCAGACTGATCATGGCAGTCATAGGATCTCGGTCGGGAGCATGAGCAGACAACAGACAACCCGTTTTACGATGACACTGACCCGTTGACAATATCTACCACCGCCACCTGTTAGTCCGGTCTACGACGAGCACTCTCCCCCGACCGACGCCCCCTCTTCATGGTCCCCCCAGAATCACTTCCGAGGAACAGAAACAAATTTCAACGACTCGGGGTGGTCCCTCTCGCTGCCCCGGGATCAGGGTCCCCTCCCCATGAACCCCGACGCGCCCACGTGAAGACAGCTGCTCAACCGTACCAGATCCCCACAGCCAGCACGAGCAGTCTTAACAATGTGGGTGTGGCCAACCCCCTGTGGGGGGTGGAGCGAAACCCCACCCCCCGGGGCGAGAGGAGATTATCGGAGGGTCCCCCTCCTTCTCATCACTCCCCGGCTCAACTTGTGGGAGGGGCGGTGAGCTGCGTTACCATTCAGGACAGAGGTCTATCTCGTCCTGTAGGACAGCTATCGACTAGAGACCAAACAACAGGGGTCTCCTCGTCAAGCGAGGACTACTCCCATCTCGATTTCTCCCCTCCCAGCAAATCGGTTAGTTGTCTGGGGGCCGCCCCCCCGCGGAAATGTTATGGTTCGAGTGAGGGTTCGTACTCTTCCCTCGGTGAGGCTGAACCAACTGTCAGACAGTACGATGCAATCAGGAACTCCCATGTCCGATCCAGTTCAGCCTCCTCCCCCAGACAAAGACCCCGCCCACTATCCCTCCCCAAAGACACACCCCTCGGGCCTACCAATGATGTCATCTCATAAAGCCCCTCCCACTTCGTCAGCTCATTCCAGCGTCCCCTCGTCACTACACATGAAGCAACGACTGATGCTCACTGAAACTAGTCTTGTCTAGATTCCAGCAAATCAGTTATGTCGCAGTATTTTTTTATTTTTACCGTATCACCTCCTGCAGCACTGTTTAACAGTTTTCAAAGATTTAATTTTTTTGGACTTTCTTTTACCATAGGTGCGAATTTTCTATGGTCACATTATGTAATGTATCATGATCACGTTGTAAAAATACACCATTATAATAAACACACGAGAATGAATGACGACACATTATGACTTGATGTTTAACAATGTGGGCTATAGTTCCATGGCAAAGTACCAGTAACAGTTGCCTATTATGTCACTGTATGGGTCAGACAAATAACATAGTGAGAAAGGTCACCAGGACCAGTGTCACTATGGAAACGGTTGCCATGGTACTGCCTGCAGTGGAAGCGGTTGCCATGGTATTGTCTGCAGGGAAACAAAACAAAACCATGTCATAATAATTACGACAGACCACACCTACTACAGGGAATCCTTCACTAACGACACCCCCCCCCCCCAAGAACCATGCATCAAAGGACATCTCATTAAAATGGACACTTTCTTCTGTCCCATGGGTGTCTAGATGAGAGGGTTCCACTGTAATTAGTAAGCCACACCCACCTTGACAATTGGTTGGTAAGGGAAGACAGATCCTCTCCTGTGACACAATAGGCGTGGTCGGGTGGTACCCAATTGTGTCAGTTGCCACGGTTGCAGGGCCACCCCACCCAAACAGGAAGTAACGGCACTCGTTAAGGGAAATGTCGTTGGTGTCGTCGGTAACACGAGGACGTCGGAACGAAATGGTGGTGATTCCATTGTTGTGGACGGCAGAGGTTAGTTCGAGGTCTTGTTCGCTATCTATTGCAGGTTGGCTTCTAGCGGAGGCATACCTGAATGGGAATGAGGGAGGAGAGGAGAGAGGAAGGAGAGAGGGTGAGAGGGAGAGAGAAGGGGAGAGAGGGTGAGGGAGAAGAGGTGACAAGGAGAGGAGGAGGAAGTGAGAGACATGACACCCGTCTTCAAAAGTAGGCGCAGCATAATTTTGGAGGCCAGAATTGTGTGTTTGAAAGGACCTTGGGCTACCAAGCATGTGTGTGTATATAAAGTGCATGAGGTACATGTGATCTATGGAGGAGGAGGTCAGCATACAACGTGTGAATGGGGATCATGTAGTAGGCCCCAAACAACAGCAGTGGAGCGTCTGGGAACACTTGCCCCCTACCTAGGAATGTGCTGTGTGTATTACAATCCATTTATCACCTCCAACACATTCAATGGTCCAGGTAAATTTGTTTTTGTGGATTATTTACAGCCTCTGATTAAGAGCACGTATATGGATGATGTCACTTTGGTGTTAGCTGAAAAGTGCTGCGTGTAGAGGAGAAGCCGTGCAAAAGTGCAAAAGACCTGAAGACCTCGATAGGAATCTTATATATCATGCAACATTAAACAACTCTACTATGTCCATTGGGGATTTAGAGCTTCACTAAACTACTATAGTTCAGATTCTTTACTATAGAACCAGGCTTTTAGGCATTATTACTATAGAACCAGGCGGTTTTCCAGGGTCGTGGTGGTGTCTTGTCAACTAACTGAACTACCTGTATATAGTATATACCGATACCTATAGCCATGCTCGCAGTTCTAAGGGAAACTAATCACGGGTTTTGTGGTAGAGCGTGACAGTGGAATTTTACCGTCACTGTTTTTCACCAAAAAAAAACTTGCAAATTCGCTAAAGCTGTCACATGTATGTATGTATGTATGTATGTACACAGCAGGGCACTGAACATGCAGTAAGGAGGAAAAGTGGGGGTAGAGCAGAGGAAGCAAATGATGAAATGATTGAGGTAAGTGGGTCGGAGCATGTGGTGGCCTTTCAGACAGGTTAAACAGAGGAGGCGGCAAGACAGGAATATCCTACTTAGTACCTATTGAGTGGCAGTCCACGTGTTACGTAATCAACCATAACAGATTGGACTCCTAATATTACGTAACCACCAAAAAAAAACCGAAAGTTGCTACTAATGTACTGGTCCACCAGATGCATCCTACTATTTTAGAGAAACCACAAACAAGAAAGCACCACGACCCTCGCCATAATTACCATATCACACATACGATTCCTAGCACTGTATTGTACCAATACAATTTCTCAGAAGGCAAATAAAGTTTGTGACACAATCAGGTGAGTGATATGTATGTATGTACATACCTGTCAGTTACAAAGTATCCGGTGTTGTCTACTGCTCCCACCACTACATCACTTGCTGGCTGTAAGGTAACAAATTGAGAGTGCCATGATCGCAGCGTACGTGCGCCGGGCTCGGCTAGGAATTACACAGTGGATGAATTAACAGACAAATGAACATATTCAACTAGTGACCACGTGTAGTTTTATAAGATTCATCGGGTGTCCCTCCTCCCCACTGTAAACGGTATGTACGAGCTGACCAGACCATTAGTATATACAACTGTCTTAGCATGCCAACCTAACATCACGTAATAGCCAGAATACACATCGATACTACATTGGAACTATACTATTATTCCCTACAGAGACGTGATGCCACAGTATCTACTGAATAAGGCTGGAGTAGTAGTGCATGGTGGGATTCATAGGTAGTAGGGGTTTCGTGACAAGCAGTTGTGAAGAGGGAGAGAGAGGAGGAGAGAGGAGGAGAGGGGGAGAGAGGAGGAGAGAGAGGGAGAGAGAGAGGGGGGAACAACAGGAACTGGCCCAGGACTCTTTAGAGACACAGCAACCCACACCCATACAAACATCCTAGCCTGCCAGCTCTGTGGGTGCATTGTTATTGCTTCGTGCAAGCTACAGCAAAACTCCCCCGATCTGGAGGTGACCCCTCGTACAGCGTGTTACAAAAGATTTACTGGCGTATTGTCTCACCATGAAGATATCGTCAGAGAAGCCAATGGCCACCCACCGTCCAAGATCCACTCTGGCAGATACAGTGAAATCGACAAAGTCCCCGCTCACCCTCCAGTTAGCTGCATACTCGCACTCTCCCTCGTCGTCACAGCTGGTGTTGAACCCAGAAGAGCACGCACTCGGGTCAAATACAAACGTGTCGTCTTTGGAGAGAAGAGAGCGATATATAATTTCATTTCAACGCAGGGAGTATAATTATTGAGAACAAGGTGAACTTAGCAGTTGATTTTATATAGTGCTGGTCATGCCAATGCTCTTAATAACTGCTGAAATTCCACACTCTTCCATTCACTTGCCAATAAGCAAATTGTGCATTCATCTATAGTGTGTGTACTAGTCTCAGTAACAGGAGAAGGGAGTATATGAGAGGGAGTAGTGTATAGCAATTACCAGGTATTTTCTCATAGTGAGGGAGTGTTAGCTCACCAAAGAAGTTGATGGAGGTGGCCCCCCTGTTGCGGGTCCCGTGGTACTTGATCTCGTCAGGCTGGTAGAACCTGGTGTTAGAGACTGTCTCTGCCTCGATCCCAGAATTGGGACTGTGGAAGTAGTAGGGGTACACCTGACCAAAGGACCAGATGACCCTCATTAGCGAGTCCGAAATGTCGTGGTCAGCTGAACTGTCTCCTGTTGATAGAGGTCTCCTGAATATGATTGAAGTCACTCCGTTGACCTCTTTCCCGACGGCAGCGGTGATGTCATCGTCTCCACCGTAGAAGTAGTCTCGACGTGGCGTGGCACGATCGCGAGAGTAGTAGTCGAAAACTCTGAAGAGGTTGCCTCGAGCCTGACCAATGACAATGTCGGCACAGTCCATTGGGTGGATGGGCGCTGATGGCGGAGAAAGGAGAAAGTAATAGAACTAAAGGGAATGAATGTTTAAACTTACCACCGCCGCCTTCTTCTTCTCCTCCCTCTTCTTCTCCTCCCTCTTCTTCTCCTCCCTCTTCCTCTCCTCCCTCTTCCTCTCCTCCCTCTTCCTCTCCTTCCTCTTCTCCTTCTTCTTCTCCTTCCTCCTCTCCCTCTTCCTCACCATACCCACTGGTCCAATTACCACCGTTGTTGATCACCAAAACACCATCAGCCAATGGAAAAGTCTGTCCATTAGGCCACAGTGGGTTGGTTCCTGCAATATTATCATATATAGTGAGTGCAAATGCCTAACACACGTATATATCTGTTTGTGGTGTAAATGGTTTGCATCTGTAACAGAAAAAGACGTGCCAGGATTTTAGGGATTTCTCTTTGTGCATTTTGAAGGCTTTTGTGGTGTAACATGTGGAAGATAAAAAGGTGAGAATTGCTCTTGGCTATGTACGGTAGCTACCACTCCACAAACAAAGAATGCTTTGTGCCTTGCATGTACCACAATGTACCGGCTCCTCAATTATGAGCTAAGATTACAGGGGCGAGGGTTGTGACTTACCGACGGGGAAAAATCCCGGTGCTTGGGCTCTGCAATCGGCATCGAGACCTGCACAGACCCAAAGACAAAACAGTCAGTCACACGCGTGTGGTGTGTTTGGCCGTGAAAGTGAAGTCAAAACATGCACGGCAAAGCCTTACTCCAATGAACACTACCTGTCACACTAGAGGTGCAACAGGGAAACAGTGTAGTACTATAGAGGAAGGGGGACATACCGGTTGGCTTCCACCCAAGAGCAGCGTAGCCTGTCCCGTTGTGCAACAGAGCTATCTCTATTTCATTCTCCTCCTGTAACACATAGTGAAACAGAAAAAAGAATTGACATAGCTGTGGGTAGGTCATATTACGTGGACAATGAGTATATACAGCTTCTTGCATTGCTTTGTTACTGAGCTACAGCCCTACTTTTGTATTTCAAATGCAAAAGAAACCGGTTCATCTGCAGGGCAAATTTGCCAGGGCTAGGGCTAATGCAAGGGCTGGGCAAAAGTTGGCAATTGTCTCTTCCCTGGGCATCACGATGGGCTTTCAACGTCCTTTCAATCTCTGAGAAGTGGCCTATGTAAATCTCACTGGTACCGTAACCCTGGAATATCTATAGGAGCTAGATATTGCAGGATCAGTGCATAATATTGCAGTTGACAGTGGTGCATGTGGCGAGCACATGCCCCGGCAAGCAGTGTGTGGCTTTACACCCCAACTAATGGTGATGTAATGTCCTCTACTGAGAGGCTTCTGCAAACAAGGCAGCTATCCATGCATGCAGTGGGCAAGAAGAGTCAGTGTGAATGAGGTGGGCAGTTTGGAATGACAGAATTCCCTTAAATGTAGTGTTCACAGATTCATTTCCTCTCATTTCATGGTTGTTGCAAAACCACAAAGTCATGCACAGGGCCACAGACACCAACTGTCATTAATTGGAGATCTTTGATGTATATACCCACCGGATACAAGACCCAGCTCTGGTTACTTCTAGCCTTCTAGCTTGTGTCTGGTTTCATACCACAAACACATCGCTGGGACTGATGAATGCAGAGAATATCAATGGTTCTGTGCTTCTCCTATATACCAAGGTGGAGGTGTATAGGATTCACACCCTTGGGACTGTTGCCAAGAAACCTAACATGCAGCTCCGCCTACTAATTCGCACGGCTTTGGGGCATTACTGGAAACCTTGCCACTTGCCAGTACGTGATACGTTGGGGGGTACATCCTCCGCATGCGTGCTCATCAGCGTGGTGGTGGTTGTATAAGTATATATATCTTCACCTCGATGATTCTGGCATACATGGTGAGTCGGTCGTGGAGCGCATTTCTGACGGTATACTGGTTGGGATCAATGGTTGCATTAGACAGGGATGACACTGAGGAGGAGGAGGGGGTGGCAAGAAAAGGTGTCAAGAGTATTATATGCATCTTTGTGTGCAAATATAGAACAGAAGTTGTGGAGTTGGCAGATGGTCCTCTAAAGAGTGGGTAGTTCTGTTTACCTCTGCTGCAGGCGTCTCCAAAGTATCCAGGGTTGCAGAAGCACTGTCTCCTGGGGAAGATGGTTCCCATGAGATCCACACACTCTCCATTGTTGCTGCAGTCACTGGCATCCTCACACTCATCTGCAGTGAGTCAATACATCAGAGAGTGAGAGAGAGGAAATTGCAACACCTGTTGAATCTTTTTATTGGCTTATTGTGCTATGTTTTAGCTTATCAAGAGTTCATTGCAGCAATGCTATGCTTTATGAGTCTATAATATTCTCAATACTCTCAGTGATAGTAGTGTTGAGTTCTCTCTTTATTGAACCATCGTAGCTCAGTTTTAGTACAATAATCTAAACTTGAGTGTTTGCGAAGTGTTTGCAAAACAACACACCTTTGTACTGGCAGAAATCTCCGTAGTAGGTTCGCTCGCAGTTGCACTCAAAGCCGCTGCAGGTACCGTGCCCCGAGCAGTAGCTCTCATCACACTGGACACCTACAAGAGAACGCACACACACACACCGCAGGAACTCAAGTTTATTGACACCCCATCACACAGTCCCACTAACAGACATACTGACATGTCCACAGGTCTCTTAAGAGCACGAGAGATGTATGCATTTGCATTACAGTTTGTGTTTGCTACAGTTACAATGCACTCAACTTCATTATCGTCCAGGTGTAGTCAGATTAGAGATATACTTTGAATCTCAATGACCGAATGCACAGTGCAAACAGGCCAAATTAAATCATCACCAATAGTTTGCAAACTTATCTGTAAACTCGTTAATGGGATGAGAGTACAGCTCACATTGTGGCACACATTATGGTAACGTTTGTTTGTTTATTGGACTGCGTAAAGTTTTGGAAGGTATCAGAACAACAAAGTCAGTCTGGTTAAAGATACATTGTATTGCCATAAATTTCTTGCCCCATGCATGGCTATAATATCATACTGTTTTGGATGGAGATATCGGCACAGGACCAGAAGATGTAGCCCCCAGTAGCCGACCATTCTGCAGCCTGTCGCATCAACTGTAGGACACAGCGATCGCACACAAATCCATCAGGGAGCGTCACCTCTTGACGAAATGCTCTGCAAACGAAAATCATTTGCTAACAGCATGCTGTTCTAGTGCAGAAAATGAGTGCAGGAGTCTTACGTGGAATCGTCTTCAAGACGCCATGAGTCGAGTCCCAGAAGAGCGTGCACAATGGTGCCGTTGGAGTCCAGTATATTGATGCGAATGCCGCCCTGTAATACGTAATATTGCAGGGGTAAGAAGAGCATCAAATAGCTATATACGTAGCTCGCGAACAAACTGCGCCAACGGATACTAACCCTGTGCGGGTAGGCAAGGTGGTAGCTGACGTTCAGGGAAGAGCCCACCACTAGTGTCGTCACTGGGTCGCTTTCGCCAGCATCTGCACGAAATAGTAATGGCTCTCTCACATTTTTGCAGCAGGCGAAATTTACCCTAGGGTAAAGCATAGCTACCTGGGACTCCACATGGTCCTCCAGTGCGAACATTGTCTAGAAAGTCGTAGTTAGGAGTCCGGGCAGGCGGGAAGGTTAGTCGTACGTGGGCGCTGCTGAGATGCAGCAATGCAGCCGCGAATAGCAGAGTTGTAGCGGCGTAAGATCCCATTTTGGCTTGCTTTATGCGACGAATTACCAGTGTTCCTGCAGTACAGTTCTCTCAGTCGCCGCACAGCCGGATAATTTACAGACGGAGAAACGATAAAAAGCAGCTTGCTTTTATAAGAAACGTCTAGCAGGCCGGTTTCTTAGCAGTGTGTGTGCGTGCATGTGCATGCACAGCAGCGGTTCGAACGCGCGCATGCGCATAATTTCGCGCTACTTTGCGCGGCCCGCGCTGCTGGGCTAGGCTCTGCTCGAGTAGTGTCTTTTACCTATTTTAGTTGTGTAGTGTGTATGCAGGTTTACCTCAGAAAACCTCTCGTCACAAAAGGGTTCAATGAGAACCATAAATTTCAGTTACGTTGTAGGTTTACATCATCGGCAAGACACACACGAATACACAAACACAGTACAGACTGAGCTCCTTTCATGAGGTCTTATGGTCATCATCTGAGGGAGTTTTGGAAGGCACACTTACTGCACACTTCAATCCTCATCTGATAAGGAAAATTCTTTGACCATCAGAGCAACACAAAAAAAACATAGATATATACAACACAAAAGACATCATCGCCACAGCTAGTAGCTCAGATTCGAATCTTGATCAACACTGATGGAAAAACCGTAGGAACAAAGGTTTCTACGGGCCTCAAAGCAAGGAACCATCTTTCAGGCTTAAACTAATGACGTAATGGAAATTCACAGTGCGCATGCGTATTCTCGCGCACCAAATAGCGTGTTGCCAATGCCAGCAGAGAAGCTCCGGGGCGGGTAAATTCCGAGCCAGGGGCGGACATACACAGGAAGAGAGAGAGCCGGCCGGCCTCGCGGCAAGATGATGGCGACCGCCAGAAGCTCTAGTGTCGATCTTTTGCACAGACTGCGCCCACCACAGCCGCACGGTGGAGGAGGACGGGGAGCAGCAGCAGCTCGGAGTCTCACAAACCTATCAGACGACCCCATGGAGGTACTGGACTGGTTCCACCCCCAACTCACACGACACGCAGCCGAGTGCATGCTCATCGACAACGCGCCCGAAGGAACCTTTCTCCTCCGTTCCTCGAGCGACGGGGAGGGCTACGTTCTTTCAGTGAAACTCTCGAGCTCTGTCCAACACGTCCGGATCACCATTGGCCCGGGGGGCCGGTACCACTTCGGGAACAGCTCCTTTGAGAGCGTTCGGGGGCTGAAACGACACTTCGAACTCGAAAAACCGGTTATCGGTGGGGACTCGAACATCAGAGTGGTCCTAAAATTTCCTTACTCGAGATTTGTTGAGGAGAGCCATCTCTACACGGAAGTAGTTCATCATGCGGTCACCAACTACATCAATGACTCCAGTGACAGTGATACGGACTCGAGCTCGCCGAGCCACGGGTCATCATCGTCCATGACAGCAACAACAAGCACCCGGACGATGGCGATTTCGTCCAAGGAGGGCTACCTCACCAAACAGGGACGGATTCGGAAGACTTGGCGCGTCCGTTGGTTCATCCTGCGAAACCAGAACTTGTCGTATTACCGCACCAAACAACACAAGAAACCACTGGGTACACTGGATCTCACGGAAGCAATTTCTGTAGATTTGGACACGTCCAAGGATAAGGAGTTTTGTTTCCGCATTATCATGCCCTCGAGAACGTGGTATTTCCTAGGTAACAGTGTGGAAGACAGTCAACAGTGGGTCGAGCTGCTGAGATTGAAACTAGCCCGAGTCTGAGTGTCTTGTCTGTGTGTAACCTCTCTCTCTCTCTCTGATCTGTGATGTTGTGTACTCAATCACTACCAAGGCCATTCTCTCTGCTATAGTCACATTGTATGGCGAATTTGAACACTGTATGTTATGCTATATAATTTATTTTTGAAGCTTCCTTGAACATGTGAGTTGATGTGGCACTGTTAGATCAACAATAGGTGCAGGCGTTTGCTGATCTTCTGAACATGACACGTGGTTGCCGACTTTGCTCTGACTCATAATTAGCTCTATATAGAATGCACAGACCAACATCTACTTAACCAAAAAACAAACTTTGTTAGAAAAACAACGCCCTGAGTACCGGAAGTTAGCCATAAAGCCCCCCAAAGAAAAAGTGTTTGTTTACAGAGTGGCAGTGACACCTCCGAAAAAGGACACCTCTATGTTTTACTATAATTATACCTCCAGATAAGGGATGCTCTGAATAATGTTTACTCGAGGTTTCACTGTAATATTCACATGGGGGGAGTATGTGTAAATATTCAAGCAAAAGTATATTGACATAACAGAAATTGACCAAAACTACAAATTGAGTATATACAGGCATAAGCAAAATAAAAATGTGAGAAGTGCATAATACAGTGATACAGAATGCGTACAGCTGTGGCATTCTGTGCTTGGTGGTGTCAGTGTTGTGCTAGCAGTAGTGGTGGTGTTTCGAGTGCCTCGCGGGGAGGGGGGAAGGTGGGGGTTTAGGGAGTGGGGAGGGAGGGAGAGGGTGAGAGGTTGCAACTGGTGAAGGAAGATTTAGAGTGTCAACCAGCGGTTGTCTACAACAGAACGTTGGAAGAAAATATGCATGTAGTCATTTGAATTAGTCATTTGATATTCTATCCAACGCATGTCACTATAATTATACAGCTATTGCGTGGATATCGTAGAGGTGCTCAAAGGTCATGTCATATGGACATGTTTGCACTTGCCTGCCAAAAAGCATAGGGGGCCGCAGTATGTGACGGTTACATAGAGGGAGAGAGAATGTATATAATATATATACCTGCTGTTTGATAGAGGAGATCTTGAATGAGCTGGACCTGTGGCAATGCATAAAAGACCAGTGATCATGTGCTCAATAATATACACATCCCATAAAACAGGCTCTGATGTGTCTCTTACAAAGGACCGTATTAACACAAATAGCGGCATTTTCTTTACACACAAACAGTAAACCATGTTCACTCACTGCAGAATTGTAGTTGAGCCTTTAGAGTTGCTTTCCTCCGAATGACTTCCTCAGGGAATAGGGGGGCGTGTCCTCCTCTCCCGCCACCACCGACAAACTCGCCAAACCAGTTTGGCAAACCGGTTAATCTGCTCGGGGTTGCCTCGCGAGACGAGGTGAGGGGCGGAGTCTGACGAGGTGGGAGGAGCTTGGGGAGAAAGTTCCCGCAAAAGAGTGGATGATGACAAGTGGAAAATTTTTGACTAACGAACAGGGGCACCCCAAACTTGTTTCTATGGAGATGAGAGTTTGAATATCGGGAGGGAGTAATGTTGGGTGGTTTCTCTGTCACAGGAGTGGACACTTGGGGGAATGGTTGGTCTTGATATCTTGAGCCTTGCTCATGTGGTTTACTGCACCACATTTCCTAGGGGTGTGGCCAATGTGGGCGTGGTCACCGTGGGTGTGGTCAGGCGAGGGTACCAAGCCGCTGTCAACTTCACTTTTCGCCAGTGGTGGCTGAGAATTCTTGTATGAGGTGGCCTTGTTGTCTTTTTCCTGCTCCATTAGGGAACCGGCGTTGGCCGAATTTTCGGGTCCCCTACTGTTCCCTAGACTCGCACCGGGGGGCTGGTTGAAATCCAGGGAACCGGCGACCCCCGAGTCAGTGGCAGTCCCCGTCATAGAGGGTTCGTTGTTGATTCGCGAAATTTCCCTGATGGAAGGTAGTCTGAGACGTCCTGCCCCCCAGTGGGGGTCCGGGACAGAAATTTGGGGGTTCAGATTTTGGATGGCGACGGTTGAGTGTAGGGGTTGTCTGTCGCTGGCACTGCGACTATCATCAGTTGCCAGCCGAGTGAAGTAGCTGGTGCACGTGGTTATTCCAGTAACACTGGTGAGGTCGTCGTCATAGTATGTCTGTAGGTCTCCCAGGGAGATGGGCTGCGGAGCATCTTCACTGCTGTTCCCACTTCCTCCTCCCTCTTCCTCCCCTTCCTCTCTCCTGGCCGGCTTCTCTCTACTGGTGGGAAGATCAGCCTTTGTTCCAGTCCCTCCTGTCATCATCTGTTGCTGCCTCACAAGATCAACTCCTAATTAAAAATTGTATATTAATAATTTTTTTACTTTTTGTGAGCACATGGGGGAAGGAGAGGCAAATTAACCATTCTTGATACACCGACAATAGCTAGAGAGTGCAGTGTAATCGACGTCATGTGATTGTGGAAAGTAGGGTGGCCTCGTTTCGTGCTTTTGTGAGAAGAGGTTGCCACAATATCCCACCCTTACTAGTAGAAACACGACGTTACATAAGATTGTGTAAGCTGGGGAATTGCTGAGGGCTAATCCGGCACACCCTTACTCAGTTCAACTGATGAGTGTACTAAATATGGCATTCAGATGGTTGACCTACTCCACCAGACATGTGCAGACTTCCTCACTTCCGCCTTGGAGTGGATGCCACACCAATTAGTCAGAGAAGGGTTTCTGTGATACACTGCACACTATCACCACAATACCACCACACCACCACAAGTAGCCGTATAGTAGGTGCTAAGAAGGAAACATAGTTTCCCACAGGAAGCTTGCACCATGCTTGTCTAAAACCACAACACTTGTACCCACACAGACACACCATAATAATATTATGCCCAGCATGCATGGATTCTGTTCTGGTAGGGGAAGACAGGTCACATGTCTCAAAATAGATTCTTCTATGAATGGTCTGAGACAGTACAGTACACATGCATGGGCGTATGAGGTGTGTGAAGAGGAATAGTGGTTTCCTAGTAAGAAGTCATCAAGGAATCCTCTGTACTACGTATGTATGCCTCCACATTGTGTTGCCATTCAGTGTGAGGCTGCATTTGTATACACGATGCAAAATCACAGTAGGTTATCGCTATGAGTTGGGAGCCAGTTTACTAGCACACATCATTCCGTTCTAACCATTGCAGTAGGGAGTCGAAGTTGCCTTGCTCGGGGTATTATTGCTGACTCGACAAGGTGTCCTGGAGACGAGGGGCTCACCACCACCACCGTTGCCACCGCCAGCACTCCTCACACCGTCACAGGAGGCCACGCCCACCCCGGCAGAGTGGGAGAGGATGGGGGAGAAGGGTGGACAGGTGGGAGGGGAGGGAGTGGGGTGAGGACCACTCCGGGACTGTGGCAAGCAGAAGAAAATGAACTTCATCATGGATAGTGGGTTACACAATAAATAATTTCACACATATTTTTTGGACCAAGAAGATCCTGCCTGGAAATTTTCACGAAAAAAAGTTGACGCTATAATTATACCAAAACACAAAATTTTCCACCCTTTCCCGTCACAAATTTTATTAGTATGTACCTGAGGGTTTGGGGAGAGTGAGGAAAACAATCTTTTGCAAGATTCGCAGTTACCCTTTGACCCCTCTCTTGTGCCCCTACTATCATTCTCGATGGGGGAGAGTTGGGGTAGATTTACTCCAGGGGTAAGGACAAGGGAAGAGGTGGTGGGGTGACAGGAACTCGTGGGTAGGTGGGCGGAGAAGATGAGAGGGGAGGAGGAGGAGGTGTGAGGGTGGGGACAGTGTGAGGTTCGAGACTTGAGAGGAGTGGATGAGAGATGACTGCAGTCACCTGACACACACCTGACAATCACATGATCAACCAAGCAGAAAAGACTATGATTGGCTTGCATTCACTCAACAAAAATTCATCCTAGTTTTATATTACACAATGGCTGTGTACATATGTCTTTATCCAGTGACAGAAACACCAACCATGCAAACATTAACCCACCTCATAGGGGTTAAATCTGTACACAGTGGTGGGTCATTTTCAACCTTCCCTCCCTCTTCCTTCCTCTCCTCTTCCTCCTCCTCCTCCTCCTCCTCTGTCCCAGAGTCTCCCCTATTCGGCTGACCAAACAACTTGCGACGCAGCGAGGAGTTGGCCAGGTCTCGCACCCCACCGTCTGTCTCGCCGTACGAAAACCCTGGTCCTGGAGAGAGAGAGATTTGACTTGCTTACCACGAGTCTAATTACAGGTAATTGTATGTTACTTAAGGCATAAAAGAAATGTGGAAGAAGTATATACATCAACTGGGAAAATCAATTGTTGAAGGGAGGGTGACAGTCACACATACATAAGTTCCTAAAAGTCGATACGCATATTTCGTGCACTTCAGTAACAAAGGTGGAAAGCCGGGGGGAATAAAAAGGAGGTGGGTGACCTCCTGCTTTAGCAAACTTTATTTCAGTGGTAAAATCAGGCCAGTTTGTGCTACATATTATAGAGCAGACACTACATAGTTGTTGAATGAGTACACACACACACACACACACACACACACCGAGAAGTTCTCTGAGGTCGCAGGAGAATGGAATGGTGATGCAAGTCTGTGTCGCAACTGCAGAGGAAACGAAAGACGACAATTCTTACACCCAGCACCCACAGCAGTGGCAACACACACACACACACACAATGTGCTGTACAGAGAGAAACTCTTATGAGAGGAAAAACTGTCACAAAAACGGAGTTTTTACTTTTTTATTAACGAGGTTTCAAATCAGACGTTTCTACCCGAAAGGTTTCCCACTGCAATAGGTATACATACTAGAATCATACCATTGACAAGAGCATTCTCCTTATTGTCCACCTCCATACAGTCACTACTGCTGATGTCTGCATCAGGGAAAACAACATTCTGTCTACAGTTCGAACTCTGCAGGTTGATTAACCACGGTACATTGCAGCGGGACAAAGGTCACATGTATCGTCAATATTGGCACTTAGGGTTGAGACAACAGTTGTACATTGTTGACCCATTATACACACATACACACTCTCTTCCTACTTCTCTCTTCATGTGTGCAAGCGTGACCTGCTCAGTTTACATACACTGTTGTTTGTTACACGTAATATAGATCAGGCAGTGAGTGTTACGCAAGGTCTACACACCCACCCAACTCACATGCAGTCGATGGAGGGTGAGGAGAGAAGGTGACTTTCTTCGGGTGGGCGACCGGAGTTAGGGCGGAGCCAGGGAGGAGTCTGGGGGTGAGTCCCTGTCGTAAATTGCTTCTCTGGCGACCACTGGTTGGCCACGGCGACGGAAGAATGGAGCGCTGGGAGAAGAAAAGGTCGGCCACTCCCTGCCTCTCACCATCGTTCTCTGGACTATAAGAGATAAATGTATGTGAGAATCACATGATCATCACATGATGGTCACGTGACCAGACTCACCTTTCACCATTGGTCTTGACCAGACTCACAGGATCAGTGTCTATTTCTGCAGGTTTCTAGGAGAGGGAGAGCAAGGAGGGAGGAAGAGAGGGAGTTACCTCTAGCTGTGCTCCGTGTCCTTATGAGGATATGTATAGCTTACCAGTCTTGCAAGATGGTCTATGGACCAATGAAATCCCTGCCAAAGGGTGCACACACCAGTTGCAAGGAATAAAGAAAGAGAGGGTGGGGGGATGAAAAATGAAGTATGATTTATGTTGATAGCTAGTTGTTGGGCATGCAGCCGCAGTACGAGGTAGACTAGCTAGAGTTGACTACCTTGGAGCTCTCTGGAGTGACATGCCGGCTGAAGATTGGGCTGAAATCGGGGAAATTTATCCGTTCACGTGAGTGAAATGGGTGACAGCGTCGCGTAGAAGGCTCAGCCATGGTCCGCTCTGGATCAGTGTCCTTTGCAAGGGCCCCGTGCGGCCATCGACGACGATGCTCTTCCAAACAATGCGCACCGCGAGAGCGCTTTTGAACATTCAAATTTTGCCGCAAAACTCACCGCGGAATGTGACCAATCAAAAACAAATCGCACGGTTGCACGTTTTGCGCATGCGCAGGCGCGTGAATCTTCGGTCTGACGGCCGGGACAGTACAGAGCGCGAACTTTCAAGCGGCGTCTCGGTAGTGAGAAGTCGTCTGTGCGGTGAGGTTTTTTTTCCCGTAAGGCCGACGCTTTGAGACATCCTTTGGCTCGTTGTGATTTCCCGTAGATGGAGCTGCCAGTGACGCATCGGATACTGCTAATTCTTTCACTAGCCTTGGCTGCCGCCACTGTTGGACTAGGGATAGGTGAGTTGTCCCAATAAGACCTCCAATAAACCATACATTATTGAATTATAATATGCGTAAGTACGACGTACGACAGCGTGTATTTCGTGATATGCTATCAAGATGCACGGACACTGCTTTTGCAGCGGGTGTTAGTATGAGCTGAATGCTTTGTGCACAGATAACACCTTGTATGTGGCTATATCTATCCTTGTAGCAGGAAAATATGTTAGTTTTGTAGCACGATGGGTGGTTTTTTTGCTATGCCCTATAGCATCTTTCTGTGTTTGACCATAGAAGCCTTCTGAACATTCCCTGCCTCAATTCTTGTCTCACTGGACTAACCTTTACCCAGCATCATTAGAGAGTTTATCTAGGTGCGCTGTTGCTAGGAAATCTTAAGTTTACACACACAAGCGCGATTGCCGATAATGTGCCACACCTAGAACTAAGTATTTGCAAGTATTCTCTCAGCAATCAATCACATCGATGGGTTATTATACTCTGCTGTCTTGAAATGGTATATATAATGTGTATTCCAAGGAATTTAGTTTCCTGCAAGTGATAGTGTATTGTATTCACTGCAGAATGTTCACAGTTTACGAGATGCAGTGAGTGTATCACTCAGAGTCCTCACTGTGCCTGGTGCGATGATCTGGTGAGAACATAGCTACACCAGCTACCATGAAATTTACGACTCAGTAGAAAAACCTGCTGGTCAGATACTCACTACATTATGGCTCCCAAATCTCAAAACTCACAACTTCTGAAACTCACTGGGTTTTCTTTCTCAATTTATCTCATGACACACTGAGCCTAGGGAGCTAGGGTATTATAACCATTTTATTTATGTCCAACTTCTCTGCTTTCAATGCCATATACAGGAGACCTTTAAGAGTTACTCGAGTAGCACAACGGACCTATCTCCAGCTCCATTCTGTGGGACTCCAGAGGACCTGGAGACAGTACTGGGGTGTCCCAGAGAGAAAATACTGAACCCTCAGAGCCTGGCCCAAGTCACAGAGGTATGATAGCTTTTGATAGTACACTCATGGTAGGTATTGCCACCAAGCCCAAGCCAGACGGGTATATGCCAAGCTTTGGTAATAATACTCCCAGCCAAACTCCAATCACACTGTAGTCAAGTTGCAGAGTTTACGTAGCTAGATAGCTGTTATTGGTGTAGTGTTAGCCTCCTGTGTTTCCCACAGGCTGATTCTAGTGTTGAAACCCTCGGCTCTCCTCAAGTGTCCCCCTCATCTGCTGAACTGACTCTCAGACCAGGTCTGTAGTACATTATACTTCTCATATGTGATAGTACATTTATCGCTGTTCCTACAACGCCAGGTGTCCCTGGAGTGTTCAATATTACTGTGGCTCCGAGTGCCTCGTTCTCCGTCGACATGTACTTCCTGATGGATCTCACACTCACCATGGTCCAAGATCTCAACAACCTCAAAAGCTTTTCTGCAGAACTTGGTATTCACAAAGCACTACGTCTAGTGAAGCTTCTCTTTTAACGAGATCTTTCAGGGCCTTTTGTGCCCCCTTTTTAACATTGTGTGTCCAGATATGGGACTGTAGGATGCATTAGCTTTCGTCTGGTGCACAAGTTTGGGAGATAGCTCAGCAGTATAACTACTAGGAATCTCTCACCGACTGGCCTCTATTTGCAGTATACCACTGTGTCATTGCAGTGACCAAACCTCTTCTCACACTCTCTCCTCTCCCATTCTACACTCCAGTGTCCCTGATGCAAGGACTCACAGATGACTTCAGAATTGCTTACGGATCCTTCATCGACAAAGCCGTCCCTCCCTTCTCTGACAGATTCAAGTAAGAACAAAATCCTCAATCACTACCCCTTTAACTTTCCCTTTATATCCCTTGTCTCAATTTCTAATTCTACTCTAGCCCCGACTTCCCATGTGCTCTTGATGTTGGAGTGATTTCTGGACTCAACCGCAGTACATGTGACTCAACCTATGCCTTCAGACATCGACTGGACTTCACCGACAACGCGTCGGCCTTTGCAACTCAGGTCAAGCAGAGTCTGGTGTCTGCTAGTCCCGATGCCCCAGAGTCGATTCTGGACGCCATCATGCAGATAGCAGTGTGTGAGGTAGGTCACATGATCCTATTAGACTATCACGTGAGTGTCATGTGACCACAGGAGCAGGTAGGGTGGAGACCGCAGGGCCAGTCAAGACGGCTGATATTTGCACTAACTGATGGAGATTACCATTATGCTCTAGATGGCAAGGTAACCCTGTTTCCGACTACAGTGGAACCAATACAATCTGGACACAACTAGGATGTCCATATTATTAGTGAGATGTCCTTATTTCAGGGGTTAAATTGCATGCAAGAAACTAAAGAAAAACTAGAGGTGTCCTAATCTCAGGGGTGTTCTTAGAGAGAGGCCCACTCTGCCGAAGTAAAATCTTGATCTCTATTTGTACAGTTGGGAGGTATCACGAAGAGGCCAGATTTCCAATGCCACTTGGATGGAAACATGGAGTACAGTTACCAGAACCGTCACGACTTCCCCTCGGCCGCTGCCCTCGCTGGTGCTCTCAACGAGAAAAGCATTGTCCCGATATTTGCGGTTGAGAACAACGTGAGGGGAGTGTACGACCAGTTGAGTGATGTCATCAGGAGTGCCTTCGTCACAACTCGTACTGCGAACTCTGATAACCTTCTGGAGGTCCTCCGCTCGGAATATATCGTAAGAAAAGAAAATTTTAGTGGCACGATTAGTAAAAAGTAGTGAAATCACCACAATCTGGAGTCAAAAGCATTATCCATTACGGCATTGCGCATTTTGCAACAAGAAATTGAAAAAGGCGACCGCGAAGGGATTCGAACCCTCAATCTTCTGATCCGAAGTCAGACGCCTTATCCATTAGGCCACGCGGTCTGCATGTTACGCTGGCCAGGTCTCCACAATGCACAGTTGCACAATAGCAAAAGACGAAATAAAAGAATCGACCGCGAAGGGATTCGAACCCTCAATCTTCTGATCCGAAGTCAGACGCCTTATCCATTAGGCCACGCGGTCTGCATGTTACGCTGGCCAGGTCTCCACAATGCACAGTTGCACAATAGCAAAAGACGAAATAAAAGAATCGACCGCGAAGGGATTCGAACCCTCAATCTTCTGATCCGAAGTCAGACGCCTTATCCATTAGGCCACGCGGTCTGCATGTTACGCTGGCCAGGTCTCCACAATGCACAGTTGCACAATAGCAAACGACGAAATAAAAGAATCGACCGCGAAGGGATTCGAACCCTCAATCTTCTGATCCGAAGTCAGACGCCTTATCCATTAGGCCACGCGGTCTGCATGTTACGCTGGCCAGGTCTCCACAATGCACAGTTGCACAATAGCAAACGATGAAATAAAAGAATCGACCGCGAAGGGATTCGAACCCTCAATCTTCTGATCCGAAGTCAGACGCCTTATCCATTAGGCCACGCGGCCACCACACTTATGATGCTCAAGCACACCACTCTTTCCTCTCCAGGAATTGTCCGAGACTGTAATACCGGTCGTATCAGGTCTAGACAACACGTCATTCTCCATTGAACTAGTTCCCATGGACAACTGGTAAAAATCACGTCCACAAACTGTTCTGTGAAGATTTAAAATGACTCTCTAGTTCTCAGGGATCTCTCCGAGCTAATTCAAGTGACATTTGCGAGGGGATTACATCACCCGATGAGGTCACCTATTCTGTGAGAGTCACAGCTTCCCCTGACGCCTGCAGAGATCCAGACCAGACAGTCTCCGCACGGATCCAGTTCGTGGGGTTTGGGGAGGTAGAACTGAGCGTTCGTCTCATCTGCGACTGTGGATGTGAGGCAACTGCAGTGAGTCATGTGACCTCATGTTGAAGATCATGTGAGAGTCATGTGATCTGCAGGAGGCGGGGAGTTCAGAGTGCGAAGAAGAGGGAGTTCTGGAATGTTCTACTTGTCAGTGCCCAGAGCAACTGTGAGAGTTATGTGCATGATGTAATGATGATGTAATTAATTGCTCTTACTTCAGAACTGGGCCACAGTGCACTTGTCCAACAAGCACAGGAGCACTACAAGGCTGTAGGCAAGTGACATCATCATTACATCATTGAAACCCATCAAGCAACACACTCTCTCTCTACACAGAGCTAATCTGTTGGATCTGGTGTGTAGTGGGCGTGGCACTTGTGTGTGTGGGGAGTGTATGTGTGACCAATCGGATGGCTCGGTGAGGTACCAGGGCGACTACTGCCAGCACGACCCCACTGACTGCCCAGTTGGCAGAGACGATAGCGGACTCCTTACCCCCTGCTCCAGTGAGCTCTCTCTATTTCCTTCTTGGTCCCTTTCTTCCCTCCCTCTGTTCATTTCCGCCTAAAATGTCCGTACGTCTCGTTGGGTGGCCTTACTTTTAGCGAGCATGTAAGAGGAAAGACGTGCAAACGAATGGTCCTGAATACCTTGAATATAGCTGGAGAGTGCAGTGCAATCCACCCTCAGGGAAAATAGTGTCAGCATATAGAGCACGTGGGAGGAAAGACAGGCCAAGAAATCTAGCAGTGCAATCCACCCGCAGGGGATTGACTGCGTTTGTTTTTCTTTTTCTTTCTCTGCTCCTTCTCTCCTTCCCTCTGGCTCTTCTCTTACTATTCTCACTTCCATCTTCTTCCATCTCCAGGCCATGGGAGCTGCGTTGACGGAGTCTGCGAGTGCAACGGAAATTTTACTGGCGTTTCTTGCGAGTGTACCTCCAACATAACCTCCTGCATAAACCCCAGTGACCCAGTAAGGAGCATGTGACTCAAGTATGAGTCATAATGACATCATCATTAATAAATTACAGGATTTGGGAGTGTGCTCTGGGGAGGGGAGGTGTGTTTGTGGACTCTGTCTGTGCGACGATTACTCTCAGAGACACGGTCAATACTGCGAGGAGTGTGGAGTGAGTAAATTCTTCATCTCTTCCTCCCTCACTCTCTTTTCTCTCTCTCTCTCCTTTGTGCCCTCTTTTGAACAAACGTCCGTATCTCTTTCTGTAGCCTTGTAGGACGTCTTGCTCCAAGATCAATCCCTGCGTGGCGTGTGACGCGACTCGAGGCAAGAGTTGTTCCGAGGACGACAACTGTACAAGAATCACACTCCTGGACCGGGCACCCGTCGGAAACAGTTGAGTGGTTGAACAATCAATCCCTTTTGTAGTCACATCTCTATCTTCTCTTCAGGTTTCAAGACGTGCTCTGTGATTGAGTCTGGGTGCGAAGTTCGTTACCACGTCAACAGGTTGGTGACGGGCGACGAAGACCAAATCGTCGTCTACTTTGACCGTAACCAGAGCAACGCTCGGACTCTACGAGACAACCCTGGTAACAATTGACCCATCTTCTAGTGCTCCTGTACCTTATCTTCCCCCCACTGTGTTCACCCCCCTCTCTGACCCTCGATCTGCAGATGAGTGCAGACCTCAGCTCCTGATATGGCCCATCCCAGTGGGCATAATCCTGGGCGTTCTGCTCATCGGTCTCATAACTATCATTGTCTGGAGAGGCCTCACATACATTGGGGTCTGTTCTTTTAATACTCACCATCATAATTATAGTGACATATGCACAGCGGCTAGTAGCAGCACTGCCTAAGCATAGGCCCAAGCGCTCTTCGAATCTCTACTCGTTGTATGTACAGTGTATAGTGACCCTACATAGAAAATTGTCTGTTGCTCGTCCTAATCGTGCTGTTGTTGTTGTTGTTAATGCTTGCTTCCTTCTGATTTCAGGAGTATCTGGAGTACAGACAGTGGCTGAAGAGCTCCAGGGGCGAAACTAGCAGGGTAATGCTACTAAAAATAGCTCATACTTCCCATGATGTAATATCTATTTCTATTCAGAGTGAGCCCAACCCAGTCTACGTGGACCCGGGGACTGACCACCCAAACCCTCCATATATGGGTGGGCGATCGCCGGCAACCTAGGCTGCTTTCCAACAGAGGAAAACTACATAGATTTTTAAATCCCACATTCAGTCATCTTCACCTCGCCCCTTTCTCTAATTATACGACATAAAGTAATATTGAAACAAAAATGCCATGCACAAGACTTTGCAAGAAGCTGCATGTAGGACCATTCGGGCTCAATCCTCCGGTGGGGCTAGCGGAAAGGTGAGGAGATTGAACTCCGGCAGCAGATCATCGGTAATGGCGACAAGCGACGGCGGGGGAGGAGAGAGAGGGAGAAGGAAAAGGAGGGCGTGGAGGCAACCGCGACACGAGCCGGGCTCTCCTCCAGTCGCAACTAGTGTGACTGCAACCACCACAGAGCCTCGTGCTTCTGCGAGTCGCGCGGTGGACACTGCATCAACGATCGTTGGTTCTGCAGCCCGCACAGCGGCGACAGATACATCTCAATCTCTTGCCAGTGGAGCTCGCAGTCCGTGCTCGCTCACTGCGGGAGAAACAAAAGGCTTGACGAAGGAGGAGGAGAGACAAAGAGACGACGGGGCTGCACAACTACTTCCAGAGCCGTCGAATGCAGGAGGAGAGAGACTGCAGGACTCCGTAGTGGAAATAGATGGATCTGCAATGGAAGGGGTTGGAAACAATAATTATTGCATGCTAATCATTGCATTGTGCCGATTATTATTGCAGGGGGGACAGGTACTGAGGAATGTTGTAACCCTGGGCTGCCTTGTGCGACGGGCAGTGCGTGTGATAAGGGTCAGAGGAGGACGCAGCAAACCAGGCCTGCGACCCCAGCATCTGGCAGGACTGCGTCTGATTGGTCAGCTGTGTGGCGGGAAACTGGCGGGAGATGACGTGAACAGTACGAGGGTGGAATTCTGGCCAGGTTCCGTACGGAATGGAGACTACTCAGCCGACACTCAAACAGCAGGGTCAGTAACAGTAAAGAAAACTGAAGAATTTTTTGCCAAACGCCAAAAATTTATGTCCAGGAGCACCACTCTTCTTTTGCAAGTGTCTCTGCCGTGTCTGCTGTTTGCCCCACCCACCTCCTCTTCCACGCTCACCCTCAGAGGAGGCACCAATGCAGACATGGCCCCGCCCATTGATTACATCACCAAAGTGAGCCCAAACCCAACTCTGATTGGTCGATATAATACTTACATCTTTGATATAATAGGTTTTCAAACCGACCGTTGGGAAATTTGGCATCACTTTTGACTGCAAGCTGAAGAAAAGGTATATAGCTACAACAAAACTCACTAAAAGTGAAGGTATTCATTGTAATGTATCTCCAGAGGGTTCTATCCCAGAGGAGGCGGTGAGGTGGTTGTGAAGCCACACCCACTCGTAAACATCACCCCGGCAACCATCACGGAACCGGGACAAGTGGTTTCGGTCTCGATCCATTCCTTTGTGGCCGGAACGGCGCCTGAGAAGATTGCACAGCAAATGGCCCAAGCAGCCAGACAGCAGGTATATACACATTATAGTTGGAGAGTAAAGTTTCACGATTTTGTCAGAAACAAGAAACAAGAATAAAACCGATTGCAATAATAAATAATAATTTCCACTGATCTATAAACAACTTCCCACATTATTTTGCATGATTAAGTTATGTGAATGGCTCAGTTTCTCTCCAGTCCACTCTGTGTATGATGTAAATAGGTTGCAAAGCAGCTGCCCGGAGTTGCTATAGAGACGAAGGTGGTTTGTGAGACTGCAAACACTGCGTTCGGAAACGGTCTCTGGCATTATGTGAGAAAGGAAACAAGTGTTGACAATAATTAACAGGGGCTCTCCCTCAGTGTGGTGGCTGAGACTAGCACCGGATGTCTTCTCGGAGGATCGGCCAATGGGAAGAGAGGTATCCATCCAATCACATGACGCTAATGATGTAATGATGATGCAATGCGTAGAGGAGCCGCCGTACAAGAGTGGTCGTGCGGCTGCTGACGAGGTGATCAAAGCAGTAAAACAGGGCGCATGTGTGGATGAACACATGCAGGACCAGGTCAGAAATATTTATTCCCTAGAACATTTTTTTTATTCCCCTGTGAAATTTGGACTGGTTCGGTGATTTTTGCTCTTGAAAGTAAAGTGAGGTCCTTGTCGTCCTCTCTGCAGCTGATAGTGCTGATGGCTCTGGCGAAGGGGAGATCAGTGGTCCGAACAGGTCCTCTCTCCCTTCACACCAAGACTGCCATCCACATCGCTAGGACCCTCACACCAGTGAAGCCGATAACACAGCTACAAGCTAATCCCTCTCCCTTGAATAATTATACTATCTGTCTTCTTTCACTGTCGTTAACCCTTTTCTCTGTCTCTTGTCAGGCAATTTTCAATGTAAGAAAGTTGGATGGTGGTGCTCATTTAATAGAATGTGACGGCATGGGTCTGCAAAGCAACTTCTGCAAATAGCATCTAAATTATCATTTCATCTGTATTAATTTGTGTACATCAAAGCACATGACAATGAAAATCACTACACAAAAATGAAGATAAATGATGGAAAAAGTTGGAATAGCTAAAGATCGACAAACAGTCACTAGTAGCGAGAACAAGATTCGAGCGTTAATGATGATAGCGATGATGATATAATTAATATGACTCTGATATGAAGAATGAGTATAGATCAGCGGACATCAATCACAGGGTAAACGAGAGGGAGAGAGAGGCTACTGCGATCAATCACCGAATACCGAATGAAAGTGGACATGTCGAGTGGCGAGTTTGGCTCTTTGAGAGATCGAGACTTGTAGAAGACGTTCCAGAATCTCAGAGTCTCGTCCCCGGCACCAGTTACTATTGTTTGACCGTCTGGAGACATGGCCTGAGGGAGACACAGAGCCCACGTCGTTAATATATATATACCTTTCAATCACAGTTGGCTAACAGGTCGAAAAGGCAAATCTTCAGGTACAAATGGAGAAAGAGAGGAGAGGTAGACAGGTTTGCAAGAAAGGAGAAAGGGTGGACGACATTTGCAACAGTTTCAGGGAAAGAGAGGGAGGAGAAGTAGACAGGACAAATGTGTATTATAGTTCAAAAATGTGTAGTTATCCTCATGGGCCTGCATTATATTGTGTACAGGAGCTGTGGAAGAGGAGGTGTGACTCACGAGGTAGAGGACCCTGGTTGAGTGTCCTGTGAGTCGAGCAACCTGAGTGAGGGACGGGTAGCGCCAGACAACGATCTGGTTCTGAGAGTAACCGTGAGTGCTGACCACCTCGTTGGTACTCCTCGACCAGGCCAGGTTACACACCTGGAGACAGAGAGAGAGAGAGAAGGTTTAAGGGAGAGGAAGAGAGAGGGTTCCGTTTAAAGAGGGAGAGGGAGGAGGAGATGAACGGAAGTTGGTGAAGAGAGGGAGAAGAGGGAAAGGGGGCTGAAAAGACGTGGAGAGGTAAGGCTCCTAGAAAGAAGGTCTGTAGGTTGGAGAGAGGAGAGATAAAGGACATACGATACCTGAGAGCCGGTGTCGATACTCTGCAGTGGCTGGCCAGTGAGGGTGTTCCAGAATCTGATAGTTCTGTCTTGAGTTCCTCCTCCAGAGGCCAGGACCCCATGCTACACACACACACACACACACAGACAGACAGACAGACAGACAGAGTGAAGAAAAGAAAAGGAGTGCGAGTTTAAATTGCAAGACAATTCTAGTGGAAAGAAACGGTGTCCATTTTACCGAGGTGTCCATTTTACCGAGGTGTCCAACAAGGTAGAAGAACCTGCTTGGTTTATGGTTTAGCTAACGCTAAAAAAGACAGGCTAAGAAAGAGAGGAAGGGGGAGAGAGGGAGAGAGGGACACTGCATATACCTGGTGAGGGGACCAAGCGATGGCCTTGATAGCTGCCGTATGCTCTGTGTGACACTTCACTGGGGTCGGAGAGGTCAAGTTCCACACCAGCAGTTTGTTATCGTTTCCACCGGACGCCAGTAGCTGATGGTCGGGCGACCATTTCAGTCCGCACACCTCCTGCGTGTGGGCGGTCAGTTTACGAGTTGGCCCCTGGGGCGATCGGTGGTCCCACTGCAGAATGCTGTTGTCGCGGCTACCAGATGTAATGATGTCATTGTTCCACGCAATTGAACCTGAATGGGTTTGAAAAGACTGACCATTACAATGTAAGTAGTACAGCAGTCCAATTTGGCCCTTGAATAAGTTGTACAGAGCAGTATATGGTTCAGCATTATGCCCATACAATAGCAGTTTTCCCTTTCAATTTCACGAACATTGGGTGTAGGTAGGTGAGGGCGAGGGAGACAAACGAGCAAGGAGAGATGGGAAGAGATTGGCAACAGTAAAGTAACATAGTGCGGAGATGGAGGTAGTAGCGAGTCAGGAGCATGCAATGTGACGGAGATAGAAAGGAAGAGATAGAGAGGGAGGAGTGAAAGCCTCACCAACTCTCGCCACGCTTTGGCTCAGCGACGAGCGGTGCACCACAGTTCTTATCTGACAGAGCGGGTCCCAGATCATGCAAACGTGGCGGTCTGCATCTGAATAGTTCCCAGAGCCAGCATCTGGCCTCGCTCCGACCAGCTGACGTCGTGTGAGGCTGTATTGTCTCCTTCCTCGTGGAGATCACACAGTCGGGACACCTGCCAAGTACGGGACTCAGGGTTAGTAAACAGAACAACAGAGGTTTACACTTTGGCCAGCAGGTGCCAGCTAAAATGAAAGCAAAGCGTGAATCACGTCGCGAGGTTTGCACCGTCAATGACTTTAACATGATTGCATTTCTCAGATGCTTTGCTGACACAACAAGCAATGAATCACTTTCGGGACATTATCATATGTATATACACATTAGCTGAACCACTTTGCCAATATTATCATATGTACACATTAGCTGAACCACTTTGCCAACATTATCATATGTACACATTAGCTGAACCACTTTGCCAACATGGCCAATCAACGTTACTGTGGGTAAGGTAAAAACATGGCATCGCGCGCTGTGTAGGATAGATAGAGTACAGGGACACATTAAAGGTAGGGGTTCATGCTCTTTTGACCACGTATCAACCATAGAAGATAATACATGTACTGGGCATATCACACACTGACCTGGCACGTGCAGGCGTTCCAGAGGTAGACAGCCGAGCCGAGCCCCACGGCCAGGAGGTTGAGAGCGGACCAGTCGAGGAGGTTGAGGTAGAAGTCGTCCTGGAGCTCCGGGGCGTCCAGCACTTTGAACGGGGCCTTGGGTATCTTGCGGGACAGTCTCCGAGGAGACAGGAGGAGCTGGGAACTGCAGCAACACACAGTGTCAAGTCATGAAAACTTTAGTCATAAATATTTGCAAACTAGGTACAAGGGAATGAGAATTGCGGTGATTGACTGAGGTGAAACGTGAACAGGGTAACGTAGTACAGGGGGAGATGAGAAGCTTGGCAGAGAAGGAAGAAAATACGACAAGAAACATGTTTAGAAAACGAGTAAAAAGAAGAAACAAAACAAAAAAGCAACAAAAAGAAAGACATAAAAAACGGAAAACAATAAACAACGAAAAAAGAGGCAGAAGGAAGAGAGAAGAAACCGAAGAGAAGGAAAGGAATCAAACGATTTCTTTGCCAGTCTAGAATCAGCGGCTCAAACAACTTATATAAATTCTACCTGGGAAGATTCTAGCTGTGGTAGTATGGGGGTACTGTGTGTCTGTGAGAGACAGTGACAGTGTGTGCTTTGGCTCACCTGCTCTTACTGATGGGTGAAATTGAGTATGGTGCCAGAGGATCTAGCTTTCGGACCGCTGAGTTACTGACTGGGGAGGTGGGAGAGGCGAGGATAAGGTCACGATAATCTACTTACTGTACCGTCGATGAAGCAAAACCACGAGAAAAGACGTACCTTTAAAACATTGGACTTGGACGGTGAGATTATGGTTAGAGGGCTTCCTCGCGACACTGAATGAGGGTCCTATTGTATCACCAATGACAACAGAAGTAAAAAACCACAAGAATAACTTTTTCACATGTTCCTTACTCCCACATGTAGATACAAACATAGTCCTGCAGACGAATTAAACACAAAGATTGTTTTTGATGTACCTAGATTGAAGTTGTCGATATCTACTTATGTCCGCACGCCAAGGAGGGTGCCGGTTGGTAGCGACAGGTGCAAATGTTAGAAAGAAAGGCAGGCAATTCTGCGGACAACAAGTCAACGACCACCAGGACAACTCTACGAATAAAGAAGAGCTGTCTGGGTGGGATTCGACCCGAACCAACGAACATCTGCAGTCGAAGCGACGCAGATCTACCAACTGAGCTACCAGAGGCCATCAGCTGGCAGGGGACATCAGTTTGGTTAGAAGAATCAAAGGTTGCACCGGCGTTTCACAGTCGAGCTCACGGGGAACGTCGGGTCGGTGAGGTGTCTGTGCGGCAGTTCGTTCTGCAGTGAGCCACTGGTAGTTGAGGGCTTCTCACTTGTGGTGGCTCAGTGACATGCTCTCTGGGGTACAGGCGAGGACAGGGCGGATGAGGGAGAGGGATGCACAAATCAGGTAGAGAGACAAAGAGAAGAGTGTGTTAGTGGCATCCTAGTGAGCGGGTTCGCTGGCTCACCTTCTATTGGAGGAGAGGTCAGGCAGGGGAGAGATGGGAGAACACAAACAGACATCTCGTGGGGAGACGCACGACTGGGAATATCTGAGGAACACGACAACACACTGACATGATCAACAGGAGATCTACAAGTCCTGTGGTTTATGTCCGCATGGCCAAAACAGCACACATGACACCTACAGAATCAGGAGGATCTATTCTATAGACACCAATATTAGAGAAACAATAGGTAGAAGATTGTTCACATTATCAGTGACTGTGAACAGACACAATGGCTCAGACCCATGCATATCAGCACCACACCTGGAAGTCAACCACACTCCGCCACCTCTCTCTGAGACTTTGATCTTTTCTCTTTAGTTACACCAAAAAGTCGTCAGCAGATGTTCGATTAGTGCCCACCAGTACATATACCTGTCATAGTATGCACTCTTGATGGCTGGTGGAGGAGAGAGGGGTTCGTAGAACAGGGGGACGGAGAGGGTGTGTGCGTCCCACAGAGGAGTGCGTGGAGTGGCCGAGGGTCGTGTGGTCACAGTGAGTTGGAGATGGCAGGCGGTTTTGTTTAGTGTCTATGCAAGTAAGATACGAACACACACACACTTAGACATAGATAGATACTATATTCCCCACTCATAGCTTTAGATCACACAAGACCAGAAAGCGGCAGGCTGGCCAGCATGATAAAACCAGGCACCAAAACGTTCTTCTCGGGCTTAAGGCACTCACCCCGTTCAACGTCTCCATCAGACGCCTTTCGAAAGACGCCTCCATGTGTTGATTTTCGTTCTTTCTCTCACTTTCCCGTGAGCAGCCGCGTGCTCTATTTCTCCAAATTCCGGCAAAGACACTGGGAAGATCAGGCACCAACAAATTGTCCAGGGACGAAGGCTGAGACGAGCGAGGCCAAAAAAAGATTTCCAGCCCCAAAAAAACGAGGTGGCAAAAGTTATAGCCGCCCCGGCCGCCACACTCAGCCAGCGTCGATCGCGCAGGATTCAAATTCCGAGCGCATGCATGACGTCATATAGATAGCTGAATCAGCATAAAATCCACGTGGAGCTAGCTAGACTACGTGAGCGATGACGACGACTCCTCTCTGCCACCGAACTGAGCAGCGACAGAAGAGTGGTGAGCGTTGGACTATCCAGCTTGCCAATTAGTGGGCAGTTGCTAAGTGCGTTGTGCCACCATCACACCGAAGGTTGCTTCAGGGAGGGGCCTTGCTCGCGCGGGACTCTCCAGCCAGGTCTTCATTGGGCGAGTTCCGCCACCCAAGACCACACCAACAACGTGGTTCGTTTCACACCTACTCAGAGAGACAGAGGATCACTTCTCGCTGACCCTGAATTTATTGCAGGCCGTCTTCGTGCAGTCGATGGCGGTTGCTCAAGAGGAAGGGGGCAGAGTGAATGGCTGGAGAGAGATGGATGTAACGCCGTATGAACATAAAACCGACTTAGCGTGGCGCGAGAAAGAGGGCGGGAAAGGAAGAAGAGGAGAAGGAATGACCCCAATGATGAATTTCAGAGGAGACTGTGGTTGTAAGTAGAGAGAAAACCAATCACCGATTCCAAATGCAGAAGCAAAAACAGGGAGGATCATCAATTTAGTGGGTGTACTTAGAGACGTTGCTATGTTTTCCTGTAGCTACAAGCATGGAACTGTCCTGCTGATCTGCAGATGCGCGGCCAAAGAAAGTCACAAAACTAGAAGACGATGGAATACAACTACTCGACCAGGGATACTTTTGCAGAGATGTGTCAAGAAAGTAAGACCCAAGGAGAAGGTTCAGAGTACGGGGAGCGGGACCCCCCGTTGGAGTATTGCTGACTCCTAACTGCATAAAAGGTTGAGGGAGAGGTGCTGAGTGGTCAGAAGGGTCTGGAGCAGAAGGAAAAGGAAGGAAGATCAGGATCTGAAAACAAGTTGGCAAGAAGGTGGGTCATGAACACATTTGTGCGTACTGTGAATAAGTCATCAGGTGTGGAGGTGGTGGTGTTTCTCTCTCAGGTAAATCAGACTATTGATTTACACTCACAGGTGCAGCGGACATCCTACAGAAAGGCGCGACAGAGAGAAAGAGAAAAACGCAATCAGG